ATCCAGGACCAGGCGGCCCCTTCGGGTGGCCGGTACAGTTCAATTTGGAGGGGGGGGGGGGGGGGGGGGCGGGGGGCACAATAAGCAATACAGCAGCGTAATAATCTTGCCGAATAAATAATCTTTTCCAACCGCAGACCGGTTGGTGTGCAATTCTATTTCAGGGTCGATTCCTGTCGTTCTTTCGACTCCCGGACGGGAACAATGTAGCGGGCACGACCCTTACGGCTCCCGGAAGGAAGGGAACAATGTAGCGGGCACGACCCGAGCGTCTCGCATTTTACACAGGTGTGAGCTGTGTCAAGAACCGCCGGCGTATTGTTCCGAGTTCCGAAATCAAGCTTTTTTTTGGTTCTCCTTTTCTCCTGGTCTCCTGGTCAGTCTCCTGGTTCTCTCGGGTTCCCTTCGCCGGTTTGTATGACGTCACAATCAGCTGTGGTGTGGTGTAATAAATGTACTATCCTGATATGTATGGGGTCCGGACGGTGTCTGTAAGAATAGTGGGCACATAGCCGGCAACATCAACGGCTACGAGCTGAGAGCGGGATACATTTGTCAGTCAGTGGTACGTTCGGAAGGGACAGCAACAGTGAGGTTCCGCCGAATATCATACGGCTTGCCAACCCATGTTTCTTCGCTCGGTCTTGCTGGTCCAGGTGCGGACATCCGTTCCATGTGTCGCAGCTTCGCAGTCGCCGAACATCATCCCCATTCAAGGTGGCGAGTAATTACCAGTGTATATTTCACTCTCCTCCCTTCTATCTATGTGGTGTCATGCCGGGGAATACGGACGTCCAGCGCAGCATATTCAGCCCAAATGAAAGATACTCCGAAGCAACGGAAGATAGATTTGAACGATTCCACAGCCGAATCCACGAATGAATGAATGGGAGAGTGAGAACTACTGTAAAGCCACGGCATTTTGCTTGATTGCTGGCGCTAAAAGCGAACGAAATCCACGCGTGATGCACCCCACCGACAAGCAAAGCGTAGCTTCCTGCCTCAACTACCCTCGAAATGCATCACCTGGCAGCAGTGCCGGAGGGTGCAAATCAGAGGGGAAAAGAAACAGAAAGAAAACAGAAGCCAACAAAATCAATGTGCGCTACCGAAAAACAAAGCGCAGCTTCCTGCCTCAACTACCCGCGAAATGCACAACGTGGCAGCAGTGCCGGAGGGTGCAAATCAGAGGGGGAAAGAAACGGAAAGAAAACAGAAGCCAACAAATTAATATCTGCCGCAACTTGGACAGCTGATGCTGCGTGTGGTGCGCGTCGGTGCAGATAGCCTCCCCTGCTCCCCCCGGGAATTGCCGCACGACCCTTTCGAGGCATCGCCTTACTCGCCGCCCGGTCGTGTCTTTCCTCCGCAGCCCGGCCCCCTCCGGACCCGCTTTTTCCGTGTCGCCGAAGTCTCCCCCGTCCTTCTCGTTGCGTTCCCGCCTGTTGTGTTGCGAGACCACATCCAAGTACATAGAAGGAGGCGGTTGAATGTACGACAACATTAGGTCGAGACACGGCGCAGGACCGCGCCAACGGACCCCCACGGACCCGTCCGCCATAAACGAGCTGGCTGATACGCACTGTTGAGACCTAGGCGACCCTGGTGCAGTCCACGCCGCGTGTCAACGAAACCATAACTAGTACGTTGTGCCTGATCAACTCGTCTCTCCGAAACAGCGAGCCTACTGATAGGCACCTTTGCTCGAACGCATTACCTGAGGGGCACTTTGACACGTCGGCATCAATCGCCGCACCTGGCCGAACAGCAAGTGTTTAGATCTACCAAGCCTACTTCGGTCAGGGTTTCGACAGCTTTTGTGCCCACCGTTAAAGCCAATCCTCTCTCTACGATTCCATCCACCATGAGTCCTACGTGGCCAGGTATCACTTCTCGACAACACCAACCACACGAGTTGTTGAGTTTCAAAGGGGGCCGTGGTGGGAAGGAGATCCTAATTGGGGATCATGACGACCATCTTTTTCCCATCTATCTCACATAACCAGCAACACCAACAACAACCCTTTAAACGATACGGAACGCACTTGGGAATGCTGCCACTCCCGGTCTTCCAGTTCACCGGGTGCTTCCACCTCCAAGATGGCGGTCCTGGTCGACCATCGTGTCCTCTTCTTCCGATGGTAATTATGCGTCCTCCTTTAAGATCTCGAAACTACACGCGACGTGAAGAGGATCGCTCTCGTCGTCGGGAGTCAGGCGACGGCCGTAGAAGTCCACGGGCATCACTGTCGAGCACCTGTCCGGATCAATCGGGCGAGAGGGGTAGGTGCGTCAAAGGGATGCTTGAGAGATAAGTGACATGTCAAGCGACCTGGCTTGATGCGCGTCCGTGTAGGCACTGCCTGCTGTCGTCAACGACACAGCTACGGCGACGGTTGAATCACAATGCATGAGGCGGGCTACGTCTGCCGAGATATTCGGCGCTAAATGTCCAAGGCGATCAATTTCCATGCACGCAATGTCACTTCCCAGTTTCAACGCACGCATTGACACTTGGCCGACCGCTAGTATGCTACAGTATTAGCATATTCGTTTTGACCTTATCTGCACGACTACCCACAAACGTTCGAAAGAGGACACGCTATACACGTCAGGCGCCTCACGTGATCGCGTGGTTCCCTAGCGTATCTTGTTTGCGGCCCTTGCCGAATTGCGAACACGACCCAAGGAGCGCACATGAGATGCACAAGAAGAGCGGTTGGGAAGCGTTCCTCCGGAACAAACTACTCATCTAGCTGTCGCACAGAGCAGCGACTGGGACTTGTCTCTGCCGGTGTATCACGCAGTACTACACACACACGTCCAAAGACATTTGTTCAACTTTCCTTGAAACCTGGCAAAAATGTACCTACAGGATACCGGTCGTCAGTACGCAAATGAAATGGGGCAGAAGAACAAGTGGACCGAACACCGCTCGGGTTCATCGCGACACCGCCCTGTTGTCAACATGTAGGAGGAAGATGGCTATCATCTATTTCTCATCTTATTTCGAGAGCTACGCTTCGTTGAAGAACGGACAGGAGTGGCATCCACTGCAGCGACTCCCTGGAAAAAAACGATTTAATACGGACAAACAGTCTACACCATCAACACCCCTAGGACCGGCGCCGGGAGCCCATGGTGAACGGATGTCCACCTCCGACAAGTGAAGACCCGCCCGGTGATCGGCCAACTTCAACAATTAAATGCTTCACGAATGAAAACGACGGACGGGGTTGCAGTTGGAAGGCTAGCTGTCTTCGAATAGGTTGTTCATGAGGACATGCTTTTCACGACCAGCGAACGCGCTGTTTTCTCCATTTCATGAACAGATGCCGATCGCAGGTAGAGCGGAAGAAACGGGTAGCATGATGTAAACGTGAACTCAATTCACGGGAGGTAGGAAGCCGCATGCCCGTTCAACAGCAGGCTCGATGATGGTCACGTCTACACGCAGTGACATACAGCGCGAAGGTAGCAAATCCACCTCCGATGAAAATTCAAGTCAATGAGCAGTTTTCTGATATCAGATCCGTTCGAGCGGCCCCGTACCACATAGTACTTTCCCGGGTACCCTGACATAGACGGCATGGCAAGCGGAATTGTTTCAATAAACCTCAGTTCGTTTATTGCCTTCCGCCTCAAACAAATCTACACCTTCTTCCAGCTTCCCCGCGTTAGCCCTCCCGCGAGCTCCTCCTTACTTAAGTGTTTGGACGTGAAAATTGTTGTGATAACAATTTCCCAACCTTCACTGGAGGTTGTTTGGGCGCCACCAAGACGGAGTTTCGAGCCAATCAATACCTTGGTACCTCCGCACAATATCTCGCGCATACACACATTGACTTTACTCGTTGATCTTTCTCTCTACCCCTGTCATTTATCCCTATCGTTGACGATGTCTTCACCGGCTTATTGGAAATGACAACCCAATGGTCACCAGGAGAGTGAATTCCATCCAACATGCACACAGCAGCGTGTCGAAGAATGTATCAGGAGACATATATTGGCCGGGAAGATTGACTATCGTTCGGGGGTGGGTCGGTATGGATTTGCTTTGAACGAGAGCGTGACTTTGGTCGCCACCTTCGAAGGAAGTTTAAGTACCTTTTGATCGCATCGTCTGAAGTTCCAGAGCGTGAAATACGTGATTGGCAACGAGTATTTTGTCCAACGTACTGTACACCGCGATTCCTGTGTCTTCCAACATTAATCGAAATCATTCTTGCTCTTTCCCTAGTGCATTTGATGACACGCATCACTTCCAGCAACGCCAAATAGTTGGAACGGTCTTGCTTCGACGTGAGGGAGATGTTTATTAGCGGCACCGAACGCTGGGAATATGTGGGGATCGGTGTCATTTTCCCACGTTGCACAACTCTAGAGAGGTCGCCCTGTTACAACCTGTCCTGTGGTGATGGCCCCGCGAGAGGGGCGGGTCCAACAGCACCATGAGTTTCAACAACAATATTCACGGCGCGTGCCCATATCGATTTGAGTCTTGTTGTACCACCCTGTTGAACGCACGCCACGAAAGGCAAGTCACCACCGGTTCGGGGCATGTATCACAACGCGCGTGACCGGAGAAGAATCGGATGGATCTCAGCTGGTGGTTCTGTGGAAGGAGTCGGAAGCATCTCGGCAAAGGCGAACCGAGATGGAACTGTTTCCATTAGTCCCCCCCCCCCCCCCTCTCTCTCTCTCACTTTCTCTCTCACTCACTCACTCTATCATACTACACACATCTTCTCTCCCTCCCTCCCACTCTCTATCTGTGTGCCGTAACTCATGGCAGAACCCAGGAAATAACCCCAAAGTAATAACATTCACCGTAGACAAGTGCCCAACATATATGTATCGTGCCACGCTACGGGTATATCCATCACCCCCCCTGCTCGTATACATCGTCACGATACGGCAAGTCCGGCGAACCCACCCTAATTGCTACGAAATCTCCCCCCCAAACATCGACGAAAACCGTCGTCCCACCGACTAGAATAGAAGTATACAAAACTTCCGAACTGAACGTGAATCGTTCGAACCCCTTCCCAACTTCTCTCACCCTCTCCCTCTCCCTCACACTCCTCTCTCTCTCTCACCCTTCCCGTCTATCTCTCTCCCCTCCTCGGTATAAGACACCCAATCTCCGGCATCCCTTTGCCGGAGTATTCCATGCCATGTTTCGCCACCTCACGGACTCTCGCCTCGGCCGCACGCCAACACATGAAAATACACCGGACCTCGTGTTAAACACCAGAAAAGTGAACACAAGAGAAAATACACCAGTAGCTGCGAGTAGTTCGTTTGCAATCACCGTTGTCGAGCCGCTCTTCGTCAACCCAAAGTCCGTTCACTCTCGACCCTCCCACCAGGCGTCGTTCACTCTCAGCAAGATCACTGGAAGCGTCGCCGCTTCATGCCATTTTCCGAAGTACTTTTTTCTCCCACTCGCTTTTTCTGTTTCTTTTTTCCCTTCTTCTTTGTTTTTCTTTTTGAAGGGCCCTTTGCTTCTCCCACGCCCCCTCTCTCTTTCCCTTCTCAGCCCCCCCCCCGCGCTCTTTCTCTCTCGCTCTGTCACGTCTCCCCCCTCCCTCTCAATCTCTGAAACCCTCAAAACACAAGCGCAGATCACAATCCCAAAGCCCGTTTCGACACTAATTTCACTGAGGGTGCTTCGTCTCGTCAGCCCACCACGCAACCCTCGGTAGTTTTCCTTGGTGCCATTTCCGGTACATTCTTCCGCCCCTTTTTCTGTTATTATTTTCCTCAAATTTTTCCTTTTTCTTTGCTTTTCGACTTTTCCCTTTTTTTTCGTTTTCCTTTTTGGGGTTCTCGCTTCTGCCTCCCTTTCTCTCTGCCCCGTTCCTCAGTCCCTCCCTCCCTCGCGCCCTCCCAATCCGCCTTTGAGCCCCCAAAACACCACATTGGTCCATCCTTTCGAAAACCCGCTTCAATGCTGAGGGTATTGCACCGAACAAAACTATTTTGGTGCACGTCATTCGCGTCATCTCGTTGCGGCAGACTTTTTGCGATTACGGTTGTCTTCACGAATACGCGGTTACAATCTCCGCTGAGCAACTTCAACATTTCACTAGTCAAACTGACGCAGGAAAAACTCCAAGTGCATTTCCCGAAAAATCGAAAGAGAATGAAAGGACGAGGACAAATTCAAGATATCAACCGCGATCGAGACAAATGCCACCAACACGTCGGACTTTTCAGCAAGCAACTCGCCGCCGGACAAATGTGATCGATAGAGAGATCGATCCACAGAGCCCACCGATCCCGCTCGACACGCGAGAACAACTAAAACGATTAAAATGAAACCACATACATGTTTTTCTTCTTTTTCTTCTTTTTCCCTTTTTGTTTTCTTTTCCTTCTTTGTTTCCTTTTTCTTTCTTTTCGGGCTCTCGCCTCTCTCGTTCTTCCCTCCGCCTCTACCCTTTAGCCGTCACCCCGAGATAGTTGATTCAGCAACAACCCCCCCCCCAAAAAAAAAAAAGAACAGGCATCCTCTAATCTATGGCCCGCCATTTCCACCCCTCGAACCAAGTCTCCCGCGTTCTTCCCTCCGCCTCTACCCTGCTGCCGTCACGCCGGGACCGTCGAACCCGCGAAAGAAAAAAATGCTACGGAACAACAAAAAGGATAGGCATCGTCTAATCTATGGCCCTCTATTTCCACCGCTTCATCAAAGTATACATACACAGATGTTCTTATATACATCCTGTTGATGCTGATGTGCTGATGGGCGTCAATTGCACGGGCTCCATCAACCCCTCGAGCTCCTTCATTCCTGAAAGAAGGTAGGTGGGGGCCAAAGGGTCGTCAACGCAAAAAAAAAAGAAGGATAGCGGCATGATTTATCTGACGAACACATCAGGTCGGTGAGAGCATTTTTTCAGGAGAGTGAAACAACTGAAAATGAACACATACAAATAGCAAGTTTGGTGAGGCAGACATAGCCGATGCAAGATTTTTTTTTTTTTGTCTTCACTTCAAATCAGCGCTCACAGCACTAGTGCCGTTTACACCAACCCGTGGTCACACAGAAGAGCCCCTCTCTACCGTCCCCTCCTGCGGTACTTTGCCTTCGATTTTTAATGCGAGATGAGTTCAGCACTCTCTTCCCTCTGTGTACACACGAACTAGCGCTATCCACTAAGCCAAGTGCGGAAGCGAGAGAAAAACTCACTTTGCAAGAAAAGCTCGCTTACGCCGGGATTCGAACCCCTGACCTGACCTCTAGAAGGTTCCGAGGCTACCTACTAGACCACCGGGGCGACCGGCTACTGTTTATTGAAACCGTTGAATTTTCCAGACGCTTTCTTGTTCCTGTATTTCGGGGTATCAGATTGGGAGGTTTCCCTGGAGTGGTCACTTTCTCGGGGACGTCACGTGCAAGGACAAGTCCCGCTGGACAGCGTGGAATAGCAGAACTAGGCCACAGTAGTAGATGAACTCAGCGAGAGGGATAGTAAAGCGTGACCAGTTTGAAAGGCCAAGAAGTTGTGTTCTTTAATGTTCTTGGAGCCGAGAGCGGGGACTGACGCATGTTTCTCGAACTAGCGATATGTCAGGTACGGCGAAGCCATTCTCATGCTGATGGCACACGACGCCCTTTGGTGTTCACTTTTCTAGGTGTACTCGTCCACCCTTGTCCACCGAGAGAAACGATGGGTGGTGGTGTGCCACACGACACACACGCACACCGGGGTACTGGTTCGAAGTGCACCGCTGGCGCGCACACGCCCATGCGATGCAATTTGCCGCTGCGAGGTCACGAGTGTCCGTCGCAGCCGTCGGTCAGTCACCGAAGCGCAGTAGCATCTCCGATACTTGTCGCATACAGCTGCCGCCAAGAGTGGGCTTGCAACCCGCTTGGGTGTCGACAGCAGTCGAAGAGCAGCGGCGCAGATACGATTACATCGAGAATACAACCTAATGTTTCAAACGTGTACACTAGTGCCGTATGCCGTTGTGGTGCGCATAATCGCTGCAGCTGTCAATCACGGGCTGAGCAGCAGTGGCAGAACGCACCCAATGCCGCCCAATGAAATTTATCTTTTTGCGGATTACAGCAGGTGACATAAGATACCACACCCCCTGGGGCCGATCCCACGCTCGATTAATCTACGATGGGAACGACACACCAAGCGAACGATACGGTTTCGGGATTGTTCGACTTGAGGTCAGGGGGCGTGCTGTGTGCCGTCATCCGTGGTACATTTGCATTAAAAAAAAATAATAACAACTCCGCCAAAGGTGGTGTCACCGCAACCAACCCGGCTGTCGACAACATTCGAAGAACCCAGACATGAACTACTGATTCAACCCTGCACAGTCGTGCGGTTTGCCGTTGTGGGTGTGCAATACATGAAGCTGTCGGCCAAGGGCCGAGCGGCAGTACATAGCTCGCAGATGATTCGGATGTCATTGCTGAACGAAACGTTCTTGCGCATAGATATGCTTTTGCAGACGCAGGCTCCATCATGCACTTGCAACCGCTGATACGCGGGGCATTTTGCCGCCGAGCGGCCGTTCCGAAGGGCCGCGATAAAAAACGTCGATCAGCGGCGGGGCCAGAATAACCTAACGGACCGAGTTGGTGATTCTAAATGGCGCCATTCGAATGCCGTTTGGTTTGCATGTGTACGAGGATCTTGTAATTGTAGACCGATGTCTCCAGTTTGGGTGCACTAGCTCCCCGGCGTCGTGGGGCGTGTGTGCGTCCGCCGAATAACGTGCACACAACAAGACGACTGTCGCGTCCGCAGTAACCATCCCGGAAGATCGGGAGGCCACCAGTCATGTCTGTGAAGAGCCACCCGGAGAGGACGAAGCGCGCGGAAGGTTGCCGCTGGATTATATTTTTCCTCGGGGTTCGGGGTATCCGCAACAACCTCTGGGTGCGCGTACATACCTACGCACACGATGCGTTTTTCGTAGAGCTTGAGAGGTTCTTGCAGGGGAGACGATGTCTGCGCGCGACTCGTTCATTTGCGTCCGACGGCTTTCGCTTATTCGGCAACCGCAACGAGGGGAAGCCTCCCCTCTTTTTTACGGAGAAACGCACGTCGTGGGATACGCGCACGGACACGCTAATTAGGATGGGTGATCGATACATCAGTGGCGATGACGACTTCGATGTCACAAGAGAAGGTTGCGCAATTGCGGGCGATGTTGGCGGTAGAGAGGCCGGTAGCCACTGTGAAAGTGGTGAGGTCGTTATTGGGAAAGTTGCTGCACTTGTGCGAAGCGGTTAAATACCAGGCAAGTTTTTCGTACGCCGCATTCCGAACCAGTTCGGGATAGCGCCACTGAAAGCAGGGGGAGATACGGGGACCGGCTTTGTGGTAGGAGGCAAGCAACAAACCTGCCTGCGGTGGGTCGAGAGTTTCATGAAGACTTGGGCCTTTTGGAGGAAAGTCGTGGCCACGGCTACAGGGTCGGATGGAATCACGCGGTTAGAGGCGCCCTTGCACTGCTCCTTTTTTCGGGCGCCGTCTCCAACACTTGTGAGCGATGCTATAATAGTGGGGACGGCGTGGGAGTGTTTTGCCTAGAGACTGGTCAGTGGAGGATAGATAGGTTTCACGGATGACATGCGGGTGCGCCTCCGCAACCGGGTACTCTCTCGAAATGATTTGTCGATGAACGTGTTCGAGTTGCTGGGCATGGTAGCCACGGCATGGGTGTTGACCGTGTAGGCGGGAGGGAGGCCACAGTTCCCGGGGCAGAGCACCTGGATGAGAGGAGACAACATGAGTGCCGTCCACTGAGTTAACAAATGACGGGGAGCAAAGGAGCCTAGGTCGGGTGCTTGGGTCCTTGGAAATACGGAGCGAGTGGCGTTTGAGGGCGGAGCACATCAAGGGCGCGGCCAACACGTTGTCTGATGGTTTCTCGAGATGCAAGCACGACGAAATCGCCTCAAACTTGCACCCGTACTGGCCCAACATTCGTTGGCAGGAGCAGCAACTAGGACAGGAAGCGTTGGATATGGGGAAGAACACGGCGTGGGGGTAGCGGGAAGGAAAGACGATTTTCCACTTGTAGTGAGACTCTCATGGTGACCTCGAAATGGGTAGAGTAAATGGTAGAGTACCATGTGGGGACTGGGTCGTCTGAGATGTTCCGTACAGTAGGAAGAGTTCCCCACACCGGTGGAAAGAGAAACCCCGGGCTCTTTTCTTAGGGAAGAGAGAGAAAGACAGTAGTACCCATGGACAGAGACACGGTAGGACAGGCGCACGCCTTCTGTCAGTGTGGTTTCTCTCTCTTCCCCGCGTATGAAGAGAAACATTAATGCAAAATGGCAATTCGAAAGACAACAAAAAAAAAACACCCGATGTAGCAGACGCCAGAAACAACAAAAGGATGTTCAATTCACTCTCTCGAGGTCGAGAAAGACACGAGTCGTCCGGAGATCAGATTTCGGAGATTCAACATCGCCGTGTGTTGGACGTGCGATTCAAAAAGTTTCAAAATGCGAGAGGGAACGGTTAGAAAATCAGGCCAGACGCGTGAGGCAGGCAGGGCGCGAGGGAAGGAGTACACGTGCAGGTAGAGTGAGTGAGATTTGCCGAGCGGCGTGTGAGAACAACACTGGCGTTTCTATCCAGCATGTATCACGATTTGAAAACACTTTCGAGGCAACGAAGGGGCTACAGCAGCAGTAGTACGTAGATTACCAGAGAAGCTCTCCACCCATGCTTCGCCGAACACCGCCGAGGAGAAGACTCCGGGCCAGCAGGGGTGCGCCGAGAGCGAGAACGCGCTCTCGGTCGCTTGTAGGCCCCTCGCCTAAAAACCACCGGTGGCCGCAAGACGATAGCAAACCATGGGTGAAGGAAAGGTAAGCGGGGCATTGCTGGAGGTGAGTACATGCACCGGCGTAGCAGTCGGCGGGGGTGTTGTACTCAAGCAACCATGCGGCACGAAACGAAGCTAAATAGAAAAACACGATGCAAGTTAACACCTGGTGTCTCGCATGCCGTCCTCATTTCACGTTCAAAGACAAAGGAGAAAAAGCCCACATCACCCGAAAAGGCAACGGTGACAATCATGCCTATATGACGCGGGGGGGGAAACACAAGACAAAAACGACAACCAACCTGGCAAACGGAGTAATCCAAGCGGATTGGCAGGAGCCATGGAGCCGGGAAGGCGTGCTCCGGTAAGACGCATGGGACGTTGGAATCGCATCAGGCGCCAACGCCGCCGTAACACGGGTGATAGTCCTCGTTACAGCGGGGGGCCTCGTCCACCTCTAACACACCTGTTGACAGCGGCAGCAGTAGAGACTCTCCCTCCGTCCTCTCTACTGCCCTACCACCGCCACCGACCCCTGCCTTGCAAGACGTAGAGCGCGAGGGAGCTATCGAGGATGCGCAACCGCCAGCATATCCTCGACTCCGCTCCGGCCGCCCCTTGAGTCGGGCAGGTATGCTCCGGTAAGACGCATGCGACGTTGGAATCGCATCAGGCGCCAACGCCGCCGTAACACGGGTGATAGTCCTCGTTACAGCGGCGGGCCTCGTCCACCTCTAACACACCTGTTGACAGCGGCAGCAGTAGAGACTCTCCCTCAGTCCTCTCTACTGCCCTACCACCACCACCGACCCCTGCCTTGCAAGACGTAGGGCGCGAGGGAGCTGTCGAGGATGCCTATCCACCATCATATCCTCGACACGCCTCCCACCGCCCCCGTAGGCCCCTTGCCTGCAAGCCACCGGTGGCAGCAAGAGGAGATCAAACCGTTGACCAAGGAAGGCAAGCGGGGCATTGCTGGAGGTGAGAACATCGACCGGCGCACGAGCTGCGCGGGGGTGTTGTAGTACAAGCAATCACGCCACGAACAGAAAGAAATTAGAAAAACACGCGGTTACCTTGACATCTGGTGGTCTCACACGCCTCCTCATTCCATCCTCAAAGATCGACTGGTCCCTAACCAACAACGGAGTACGTAAAAGCCACATCACGCCGAAACGCAACTTCCACACAAGACAGAAACCACAACCAACCTGGATAACGGAGTGTATCCAAGCGAACTTGTCGGGAGCCATGGAGCCGGGGGTGTGTGGTGAAGGAGGACGCGTGTGACGTTGGCATCACACAAGGCGCCGCCGGTGCTATACAACTGGTGATGGTCCTCTGTATAGCAGCGGGCCTTCATCCCCCTCCCACACGGCTGCGGCAACGATAGGCAGTAGGCTCTCCCTCCGCCCTCTCCTACTGCCACCGCCACCGCCCCCCAACCCGGATAGCCTCCGGCGCGAGGGAGGTCTCGAGGATGCGCATCTACCGCCCCATCCTCGACTCCCCTCCCTCCTGCCGCCCCCACCGGTGAAAGAAGACGCGCGCATAGAAACGCGCATCAACCCTGGAAGATGCCGAGTACGCTCGTGGGAGATGAGAGAAAGGGGTCAAAGCAGGAGGGGCGTCCTCATCCAGGTCAAACAGAGAGGTGAACGCTAGACTAGCCTCTCCGTTCCCAATCCTCTCGTGGCAAGTGCGAATCGAGCACGCAAGGTTTGTTCTCCGCTACCTTGCGGCAGCATGCATTTCCCGAGCGGTAGCGAATCATGACCTTTGCTCACAGCTTAACGGCCCGGCACCCAGGGTAATGAGAGAAGAGCGGCATGCTTCAGACATACTTACGCGGAGCCGACACCTACAACGAAAATCTTGAGCGCCGGAGCAACCACACCCGACCGCTTCCCATCCGGGGATTGTGACCGTTTCCGTTGCCTCCCTCCGCCGACGGTCCCGGGGGTCTGGCGCGACGGCAGCTACGCACGTTGACGAAAGGTTGATGGGCTGGCTGCTGAACAGATGGGCAGAGCCGTGGGTGCCGCGGGTATCTCAAGACACGATGGCCTCGCCTCCTCGTTCCGGTGCACGAACCTCTCGGATGTATTGAATCACGAAAAAAAAAAAAATGCGTTCTCCAAGACCCCTCTTATTGTGTTTTTTTTTTCAGAATTCCGCCCTGGGAGCACCACGCCGCACCAACACCGTTGTACGGGAACAGCGACCCTCGCAAACACGCTTCTCCTCCATGGGGAGGATAATTACCGCAACGTTTCTAGCCGTAGCCGACGAATGGCATGCTTAGGAACCGAACGCTTGCAGGAGTACAGGTGTACAGGTGTACTCCGTGGAACGCCAAAAACACGACCGTAACAAGTCCAAACAAACGCAACACCCCCAACGCCGTGCCGCGCAAAAGCCTAGAGAGTGGCAAACCCAACCTGCTGGGATAAAACGTGCTCCATTGTTTTGTGATTTGTGTTCGTGTTTTGTGTGTGCCGTTGTCCTGTACTTCACGTTGAGCCTGGTTTGCTCGTCGATGTTACATTACATTACACCCCCGCCCTACAGAAAAAAAGTACTTCATGATCTGGATCCGTTTTTTGTTTTTTCGTTTCGAAAGTTTGCCATCAACCGTGAAAAATTACTTGAGTACATGGTATTCGTTGTTTGCTGTTCGGCGTGCTTCCCGTCCCCTTCATCAAGCATGCATTGGGCGGGGAGGGATGTAGAGATGGCAGCAGACAACAGGCATGCTGCAACTGTTGAACCGCAAACAGGCAGGCCTCGCTCAGAAGAGAGAGATCGTTGTCTTCCTTGCGCTCGGCCTCGGGGCTCAGATCTGTTGCTGGGGCCGTGCTGTCCAAGTCCGTCCGCAGCTGCGGCCCGAAAGTCCACATACTTGGGTCCATTCACCAACTCACGATCCACTGCTCTGCGCGCCGTCATAGACCCGATCCCCCGAACTCCTGGCCGACAGCAAGAAAACTCGCACCACTGGCGGCTTCGGACGAACCGAAGTTCGGGAGATTGGGTCTGTGACCGCGCGTACAGCAGTCGACCGTGAATTAGCAAGGACCCCGATTTGCAGACGTTTCGAACCGCAGCAGCTGCAGCCTTCGACAGCACGGTCGCAGCAACAGCAGATATGGGCGCGCCAACGCGCACGCCTCTTCTCTACTGGTGCAGATGTCCGAGTCGGGACTCCGCACCGCAATGACCTTGGTTAAGCACCCGCGGTGTCGCCTGTTTCGTCTTGAAGTGAGACTTGTGAAATATCTTGTCTCAAGTTGGTGTGAAAAAAGAGGTGTACGCATACAGTAGTGTAGATTGCGTGTCAAGACAAGTCCCAATTGGTCTTTTTTTTATCCCGTGTGTGATCGCTGGGTGCTCTTCATGAAGGTCGTTTTCGAATCCAGTCAAAACCAAGATCGACTGGAGACAACATTTGTATGCATATTCGCCTTGTCATATCATAGGTGGGGCCGAGTACCACTTGAATATGTATTGTAGTGGAAATTAGTAGTACATCAGGCACGGGGCGGGCAAGTTTCGGTGAGCTCAACACCTTGTGTCGAGACGCCAAAGATGACCAGATCGACATGCCCCACCGGAGGACAACCCGAATCCCGCCTTCTTGGCTAATACGACCATTGGGTCCCCGCTCGATGGAAGCAAAGCATAATGATGCAGTGATTCCATCCAAGCGGGAGCCCAACCGTCTGAATTAGCCAAGGAGGCGGCAAACGAGAGCTAACCCACGGGCAGCTCGTTAGTTGTCCTCCGTTGTTGCATTTCTCTCAGTCATCTCGAACGCCTCAGATCAAGAGGCGAGCTCACCTAGTACATGACGCAACCCCCAGGGAGCGTATGCCTTGATCCCTCCGTGCGGAGGGCAGACACACCCTACGACCTCACCGGCGATAGCAGTCTTGCGGCCGGCGCGATGCTGCGCAACCGATGTACTCAAGGCGAATTGGAGTACAAGTATGAAAGAAGCATGTGGTATTGGCGCTATAGAAGTATTCCACAACGTCGTGGCTGACACTGGTGCTTTTCAGGATGGAAACAAAAAAACGCCGAGTGACCCAACCCGGCCGTAAAACGTCTACGTACATAGCCGCAACGGGGTACGCCCGCTACGGACACACAGCCCCTTTTAAGATTTCATCGGGACAATGACGAGGCCAAGTGCAGTAGTTCAAAAATAGATCGGTAAAAAATAGCCTCCTCAGTAAAGATTCCAGCCCGAATGACACATGCAACGCAATATGAGCGACATCAGGAGTAACGATGGTTGTCATGTGTAATGTACGAACGATAGCTGCCGACTTCTGGAGACACCGGCGGGGGGCTCGTATGGAAGGGGGCCCGGATATTTAACCTGAAACAAGAAAACGTTGCCTGAGTAGGCGATACGGAGTCTGTTACAGTAAGTAGGGAGCGACGAGGTGCCCGGCGTTTCTTTTTCATCATGTCAAACAAGCATGCCCGGGACAACAAATCCGGGCGATGCTTCAACCACCTTCTCAATTTGGCTATAGCGAGTATCCATCTCGTCACCGCTCGTAACATTAACTGAATGGAATCGGGGGAATCTGCGTGGCTTGTAAAGATCGAACTGAGTGCTACTAAGGGCGGCGGGGGCAAAGTCCCTTCCGGGCCGCCCGTTTACTTGCTAGATACCAGTACCGTTAAGCTAAGAATCAGCGGAATAGTGGGTCGCAAGTTTCGAGTATTGACCGTCAATGATCCCACGGAGACGCTACAGTAGTCTCTCCTGTCTGTTGGTGCCTGTCAGTCACTCTCCCAACCTGGATGTACAGTATTTACATATGGAATGAAGTACAGAATATACAACAATGTGTCGATGCTCGGGCACGCAATGTACAAAATATACAACAATGGGTCGATGCTCAGGCATGCCTGTCGGTGTCTATTTTCTGTCTGTCTGTCTGTCTGTCTGTCTGCCTCTTCGGACAAGGGAGCTATGTTCTCCAGATTTCGAAAACGAATCAATAAATTGCTGTGCTGTGATAATTGAGTTTCGTGCATAAAATCCGGCCTCTTTGCGAAAAAAAGGGTAGCCGTTTAGTTTTCGTCTCTACTCACCCCGAACTAGCACAAATAGAGCTTGTGTGCATAAAATGCTGTTTAAGAACACCTCGTACCAATGACTTCTTCAAAGTACATACATTCATGGTGATGGAAAGGACAGGAGGGGCAAGGGTTTGGCAAGTAAGGCGCAACTACAATAGGTGTGTATTATAGCTGCTCAGAGTATATAGGTGACAAGGCACGCACATGGTAGAATCAATCAACACAAACAATATCTGGGAGAGCACGGTTCGTGACCAGGTTTCGTTGTGTGGCCCTGAACCAGGCCAATCGCAGAAACAAGCGGCAGCGGGATACGTCATCAAAACTTCATACGGCGAGCAAAGGCTTTGCCACGGTGCACAAAAAAAAAAACTGCTGCGAAATCGAACGCCCTACATACCAGCCGCCAGCTACACAGGCAACGAACGATCGCGAAAAACAAACACCCGACGAGAGCAAAAGGGTGGTTACGCATGCGCTGCTACCGAAAACGCGAGTGCGGTGCAGTGCACTCCAGACTGAATTCTGAAAACACACGAGCAGATGCAGGGAGAGGCGCTGTGATTTAAATAGCTTTGTACATCCGAGAGGAGCTTGCACCGTCCAGAGTTGGGCTTAGCAGAGCTCGTGTCCTGGAACCCGCCGACCTTAGCACTTGGAGCGTGTCCCGCGGCCCGTCCAGAGCTGAACACGTAGCATCGCCGCCCCCGTTCGTCGACGTGGAGCCTTGCCCTGAAGGGCAGCCTCCGACCAAAAACCCCTATCCTACCTACCCTACCCTACCCTACCCTACCTACAGGGACGACGCGGCGGAGTCCAGCCAAAAGCGATTGCTCCACCAATCGCTCATGGTTATACCAGAGGGAAATCCACGGCCCACCGCCCGTAGGCAGTCGCCGGCTTCCCGGGACCGGAGAGCGGACACAAGCCCGGTTTGGGGGCGTAGGGTTGGTATTGCCCCAAACACTGCAAGACCTCGGGCAGGCGATTCACCTCCACGCACACCTGAGAGGCACACTTCGCTGCTACTCTCCTCCCCCTTCCACCGGACCACCGTTCGCGGTCAATCGGATCCACCGCAAGGGGAAAACGAACGCCCCCCAAAGCCCAATTGCTCTTGACTAAAGAGTGTTGACAATAGGGGATCCCGGCT